CCTAAGCCCAGGAGTTGGAGGTTGCTGTGAGCTGTGACACCACGGCACTCTACCAAGGGCAATAAATTGAGACTCTGTCTCTGAAAAAAAAAAAAAAAAAGGAAAGGCCAGCAGAGGAAAGAATGCCAAACCAGCTTCCACCTCTCATGGCCCTTGAGATTTAGGGGAGGGAAGTTGGTTTTCTGTCTAAGGTGGATGTTCTTTAGTTACAAAGGAGGCAAAGTGTTCCATGAAGTGATGGGCACATCCTCAACTCATTCTATTTTTTTGTTTATTTGTTTTAGAGACAGAGTCTCACTTCATCACCCTCAGTAGAGTGCTGTTGCGTCACAGCTCACAGCAACCTCCAGCTCCTGGGCTTAAGTAATTCTCTTGCCTCAGTCTCCTGGGTATCTGGGACTATAGGCACCCGCTTGGCTATTTCGTTGTTGTTGTTGCAGTTTGTCTGGGGCCTCGCTCAAAGGCTCAAATCCTTGGCATATGGGGCTGGTGCCCTACCTGCTGAGCCAAAGGCACCGCCCCCTCAATTCATTCTAGAAAGGATCAAAGGATCTGTGGAAATAGAAAAGCAAGGAGACACTAACAAAAAATTTAGTCACTAAGGATTTAGTCCTTCTTGATCCTCAGCATACTGTGAATACACACCTGGAGGTACCATCCTCAGGAGTAGGAGGTAAAAGCTGTCCCCCCCAGCACAGCTGGGATCCTGTCAGGGCCCTAAGTCTGCTTGCAGGAAGACTTCTGTCAGGAAAGGGGATCAAGGTCTAGTGTCCTCTATTCTCCTTCCTACAGACCAGGGTCTGTGCCCACTTCTGCAGCTTGGGCTTGGCCAGAATGATACTCATTTCACAGGATTAGGTTATCAAGATGGTTAAGAGGGGAGATGTTCCTTTCCCCCCATTTAGTGTAAAACCTGTGGGCATTCTCATTTCACTCTAAATGAGCACTTAGAATGGAGATTCCTGACCTAGTGCTCCTAGGCCTCAAAAACCAAGCCACATTTCATGATCTACCACCAGTCCTCCTGGCTCCAAAATAAGGGACAAGAAAACTTTGGGTGGGGCAGCTATTTACAGATTTAGGAATACACATAAAGTAGTAGGAGTCTAATATACATATTTTAAAATGAATATATGTTTCCCTTTTGGCTCCCTCCATCTTCCGCCAAAACTTCATAATTCTACCACATCTTGAAAGAACCACTCAAACTCAGAAGCCCTCTTTGATGAAGAGGACCACTGGATTCAGGATCTGATTAAGGATGATTTAACTGAAAACAAGTGAACTCAGAACTCCAGAACAGTTCCCTATCAGCACTCTCACTTGGCTAGATTCTGCCTCTGTTCTATCCCATGCCCTTTTCTCCTTTATGGACTTATAAGAAGTGGCCAAGCAACTTTATATTAATAGACTTTGGCTGAACAAATTACTCCGGATAGAGAAATACTTTGGTGACCTCTAGAGCCTTCAGATTGCCCCTTGCCGACTGAGAACATAGTACCATGGAAAAACAAGTGCTCTTACCAGGACCAACAGCCACTCAGAGGCAAGAGCAGTTGCAAGAGCCCCTAAGCTCCAGTCCCGGCCCTCCGGGGCTTAGGTGGGCGGGTTCCATTGACACCTTTCCCAGCCTCGCCAAGGGGAGAGGCGGAGCCGGGAGAGCCGGAGAGCGAATGCGGGAGATCGCGGTCACGCGCCGCCGGCTAGCTGGCCAATGGGCGTTGGGGGGCGTGCCCAAGGCCTGGGGCTCCGAGCGTTTATAATAACTTGGAATGCTGAGCTTCCCAGCGCGCTCCGGTGCGGCGGTGCGGTCCGTGCTGGGCGTAGACAAGACAAGCACCGCGGGGTCTATCTCTCCCCGCGCGGCAAATCGCCTTCGTTGCCCTCCCGCTCTCCATGGAGTCATTGACTTTTCCGCAGCGCCCCGGCCCCGCTGCCTCGGCCGCCGCCACCGTGGCTGCGGGGTTCACCCGGCCGCTAGCCGACGGGCTTATCAAGTCACCCAAACCCCTGATGAAGAAGCAGGCCGTGAAGCGGCACCACCACAAGCACAACCTGCGGCACCGCTACGAGTTCCTGGAGACACTTGGCAAAGGCACCTACGGGAAGGTGAAGAAGGCGCGGGAGAGCTCCGGGCGCCTGGTGAGTGCTGCTGCCTATCGCCGAGCCGGCCCAGCGGGCGCGGGCTTGGCGGCTGGCGGGGAGTGAAGGAGGGTTGGCCAGGGGCCCATTCGCATTGCTCGGTGGAGTTGCAGCACGCAGTCTTTAAACGCTGAGGGTGCGTTTGTGTTCGGAAGGGTGTCCATGGCAGATATGTCTGCCCATGATGGCCGAGAGTGGTCATAGACCTGAGGACCTAAGCAACACAGACCTCATATGATGGATTCAGGGTGCACAGAAGACGAATATTGTACAATCTTGGGATGGATGGCTCCCTAGAGAAGATGGGACTTAAGTTGAATTTTGCTTGAAACAGATTGTTCAATAGAGTGGAAATAGAAGGCACCCGACCTTAGTAGGAATTTGATAAATATGTGTGTGGTTGAATGAATGGATGAGGTATGAAGTTCCTTAACTCTAACGATCTGTCATCCCAGCATATTATGGAGGTCTGCACAGGAGTAGGCTTGACATCTGGGTCCTTTACAGCGCTAAGATTTAGTTGAAAGTTCATGATGATGAGTCTTATTTTCAAAAATGTGAAACCTGGCTCTGATACCAGGTCCACTGTGCCCCAAGACACCTTTGGGACGTTTTCAGGAACTTGCCCTGTTAATTTGGTGTGTGTGTAGTAGTAGGAGTGATCTGTGTGAACTTGGGCAATTTCCTTCATCTCTGTACTTTGTTTCCCTTTCTGCAAAAATGGAGAAAACACAGCTTGCCTCATAAGCTGCTAAAAGAATTGAATAAGATACAAATGTGAACTTAAAATGTTCCTGATACATAGAACTTGGAGTGAGAACTACTACGACCACAAATTTGCCAGTCCAGAAAGGGTGGCAAATTTGCCAAAAGTTGGTTGACATAGTTTGAATGTGGTTCTCCAATTCGACTTTAAATGTTCTTTAGAATCACCTGAGATGTTGTTTAAAATACTCAATTCTCTGGTTCCACACTCAGAAGAACTTATCCTCAATGTCTCGGATGGGGCCATATAATCTATATTTTAATGAGTCTTTTAGAACAGGTGGTTTAGGGAGTATGTTTTGCTGATTGCGAGGCATGTGCGCATGCGTGTGTGTGTGTGTGTGTGTGTGTGTGTGTGTGTCTATGGTTTGCCCTATTGGCTATGGCAGTGGTTGCCTCCCTAGGTTGTGTTTGCTTTTGCAGCCAGTAGCTGGTTTGAAATACAAAAAGTCATTTCATTGGTGAAGGAGTGTGGATGTTGGGAAAAGGGGTGGATTATGGGTCCATCAATAGGACCAAGTATGTTTTTCCTGCTAATGCCTGGCACAGTCCCCAGTTGCCCGCTGCCAGGTTACAGTTATTGGGCAATCATGTACTTCCTGGCTTTCCTTTTCTTTCTCTTTTTATAAAGTTATGGGGACCCAGTGAGGCCCCAGGCTTGAGACTGCTGGGCCCAGGCTTTGTCAGGGGCTTAGCTGGAAAATAGCTCCTCGGCTTGTGCCTTATGCCTTGTGCCTGTAGGGGGCTGGGAGTGGGGACTGGGTTGTGAGAACTAGGGTGGCCCAGAAGCTGAGAAACTGAGATTGAAGTTGAGAGATCCAATCAGCTTCTGACCTGTGTCACTGTGTGTGTGTAAGAGAAAGAGAAAGAGAGATCTCATTTGATTCTGGAGTGAGATAAGCCAGCTTTTAGTTTTCGAACCTCAGTGGCTCTAGGCAGGAATTCCAGCTCTTATTACATCAGAACAGAGAATTCTGCAGATACTCCCTGGCCACATGCCTCTTGTTGTAGGTAGGGAGCCAAGATCAGTAGACATGTGGCTGTCTCTGAACCTCCCTGATCTAGACCACCCAGTATTGTTGCTGAGAACTTGCCCTGGGTCTCCCTTCTTCTGAGAGCAGCTGCCTGCTGTGTTAATGGTTTCTCAATGCTTGAACATTGCTCTCTCCCCACACTACCCCTAACCCTGCCCCTTGATCATCCTCCCTGAGCCAAGAGAGACCTGGTGCCATGTGGAAGCTACCCAAAACCTCCCTTCAGTTGAATTAAGATTGTTAGTGGGGGCTAGATAGAGAGGAAAGCCTGCTGTGTGACTTCTATCCCAATTTTCCCTTCACCTTTCTAGCATATTTCCCACTCCAAACATGCCTAGATGGGATTATCAGGGGCCAGATGGGATTGGCAGAGGGAAGGGCAGATGGGTGGTACTAATGGCTGCTCTAAGAGAGCATCAAAGGAAAAACAAATATTTGCTCTGGATCTTCACATCCAAATGACATTTCCTCCTGTGATTCCCCCAGCTCCCCTGACCACTCCCCCTAAGAAAAACATATGCTGGGGCCCCTGGAATGGTGGAGTCCACCAGAGCCCTTGGGGTGATCTGTGTGGAAATTTTACTTTTAAGGCATGCTGTGAGGGAGATGAGGGGAGTCCAAATGAGGAACACTCTGGGGCAGGGGTGCCTCTGTCTCTTTTATATATTGGATTGCCACATGGGATTTCCAAAGGTTTGGAAGTGACTGAGATGGTCTAAATCCTTCACTGACAAATGAGAAAACTGAAGTCAAAAAGGGAAGTGACTTATGCTGTGCCTGGTTAGTGACATGCCTGCAACTTGCCCATAACAGAGGCTCCTGACTTGACCACCCCAGGCTCTGAGTGACCAAGTACTGAGTCTTGGACTGGTAGTTGGTCCTGAGATGAGACCCAGCTTGCCTCCATGTGCTGTGTCATTCTAACAGCTAGCTCTCCTTGGCTGCCTTTCCCCGTGCTCCAGGCCTACTTAGGGTAGGAAGAGTCACTGGGACCCAACCCTTTCCCCCACGTACACTGATTGTGTTAAGAAATCCTAGATGGGTGTGATATACTGTATTTCTGGTTTTTAAACCTTGTTCGGGAGACTACCCAGCTCAAAGTCAATACTGCAAGGGTTTTCAAATCATGGCTTTGTTACTTACCAGCTGTATGACTTCTATATTCCTCAATTTCCATATCTGTGAAGTAGGGCTTATAATAACCCCTACCTTGTGAGATTCTCCTAGGACTAATAAGATATTGTATGGATAGTGCTTAGCATAGCATAGCATATATACTGTTATTATTGCAGCAAGGCTGGCTTTAACTAAGCCCCTACCTACCCTTCCTGGGACCTTCCCCTCTACCAACCACCACCCTGGATCTGCCATGCTCTGAGGAAAAAGCATGGATTGTGCCCAGCTTCCCTAAGCCAAACCACTTTGATCTCTGCTTTGTTCAAAGTCCTAGTCTCTCCTTCAGCCCCAGCTCCAGAGAAGGACTCCTGCCTGGCCAGCTGCCAAAGGCTTGTTTTGCGGGACACTGCCCTCCTAGCTCCTCCTGCACCTGCCTGTTCAGCAGCAAGGAGGGAGGCTGCTGGCGACTCTTGTCCCTGGGCTCTGGCCAAACCACACAAGAAGGCTGAGGAGGGAAACTCCTCATCCAGCAACCTAGCAGAGGGGCTAGAGGGTGGCAAGGAGGGGCAGTGTAGTATGGGGCTTAGAGGATGTGGCTCAGGCTCTCTTCAGAGCCCATTCCTAACCTCTGCCCGGTCCTCTGGCAGGCCACCCCCAGGCCCATCCTTACTCTGGCCTGGGCCAGCCCAGCCCAACCTCTCCTCCGTTATCTAAATGGGTCATCCTCCAGCTCCTTGCCCTGCCTCCCAGACAGCAGCTGTTCTGTGAAAGGCCAGAGGAGTCAAGGAGCTTGGCTCCAACTCCAGGTGACAGCTATGACCAGAGATGTCCAGCTGGCACCCCCTCTCCCTGCACCTGCACCAGCATCTCTGGACCTTCTATTTCTAAGACCTCTGTACCATTCTTTTCTTTTCTTTTCTTTTCTTTTTTTTGAGACAGAGCCTCAAGCTGTCCCCCTGGGTAGAGTGC